GACTAAATTTTTAAAGAGCTACATGTTAATTTAAAACATATTTGAGAGTATTTTGGACATCAGCTATACCTGGAAACATCATAAATCAGTCTCTTAGAGTCCCTAAACAGCAAAAAGTATAACATTGAGTTGTCCTGAAAAAAATAAATTTCCTTTCCCTATAGCTTAACGGCCTACAAGCCATATGTCAAGAGTATTTTATAAGTAATTTGTAACTGCATAGATAAATATGGCTAAATCACATGTGCATGTTTTTATCTAGTTTGACAGTAAGATATTTAATTTCTGTTCTGAAATGCTCTGTAGACAGTCCAGGGAGTAATATATTGGTTATAAAGTGAGATATAACGGAGGCAACTAAAAAGGGTATGGGCACTTGAGTCAACTTGATCATTACAATAAATACAGAAACATTTCTGGGGGGGGGGGGGTTCTACTAAAATGGCCCTTTATCTCAGTGTAAGGTAACACATTGCATCTAAGTAACAAGAAAGCTCCCCTATCTACTTCCATTTATCTTATCAGAAAATGTTTGAATTGCCTAAATACTACTTTTTCTAACAGTTCCAAAATATCGCCACTTGTTCCTGTTACTTAGAAAAAATAAAATGTATATTTATTTTAGGAGTGAAGGAAGCTGAAGCTAGTATAAGTCTACATTATGGATGGGCATGAACTGGATAAATGGAGGTTCATGCTTCGGGGGTTTTCACGAACTTCTACAAACTTCTCCATTGCACGAATTGGTTTGTGCTTTGGAAGTTTGTGGGTTACCCCCACCTGGACGTGAGCTCCAAAGGCATTTAAATGCCGTCAGAGCCCACCACCCCAACCCGAGTGAGCCCTGAAGGCATTTAAATGCCTTTGGAACCCATCTCCAGGTTGAACTGGCCCAACTGAGCTCCCAGAGTGAGGTCCAAAAGCCTTTAAAGGGCTTCAGAGCTCACTCTTGGAGCTCAGTTGAGTCAGGCGGCCCAACTCAACTAAGCGCTCAGAGTGAGCTCCGAAGGCTTTTATAGGCCTTTGGTGCCCACTTCTGGGTGGGTCCTGCCCATATAAGGGCATATAAAACCTATAGAAGCCTTCAAAGCTCACTGGGAGCTCAGTCAAGTCCAGCTGGGCAGCTCGACCCGGAAGTGGGCTCCAAAGGCATTTAAATGCCTTCAGAGTTCACTTCCAAACCCACCCATGAACCAGTCTCCCAAACCAGCTTGGTTCATGCTGAACCAAGGGTCATAAATGCTCATCTCTAGTTTACATTTGAAAAGCTATGTTAAAGGCCCAGCTTTGTTACAGTTATAAATAATGATGGGGGAAGGCCGCTTAATCTCACCCATTCCCTAAACTGCAGGTTAAAGAGCATACTTGTTAATGACTAAGGATCAGAATAGATTTACAGTGTTAGAATTTTCTCTTGGGCAAAGGTAAAATACTTCTTTTAGTTATTTTGAGCTAGAAGGCAGTCTTGATTGTCCCTCCATAGAGCATGTGAGAAGAACGTCCCTCCAAGAAGTATGGAAGTCTACCACATAAACCCGTTCTGTAGATTTTATTAGAAATTACAGCACAAAGAATGTGGCTGTACCTTGTGCATCTGGCCATGTGAATTTAACAATGAGTTTTGAATAAGCCAAAGATCTGAATCCATTCCAGAAAAGTACTGTGCAATGCCATGAACTAACACCAGTGCAAAAGTTTTGATCTATTCAGTGTAGAATGGGTGTGCCAGAAGTGAAAATTTTAAAATGAAGGATCTCCTCAGCTACCAGCGAAATGCAGAAGTCGTAAAAGAAAGATTATTTACTACCTTTTTAGTTGGATCACCAACATATGTGGTGTAAACACTGATTCACAAATATTTAATATACAAAATATAAGACTTTTTCCATTGTTTTTATTAACAGAGTTTGTTCCCAGCGACTCACCACTTTATAGTCAATACAGAGTAGCACACAAAAGATCCAACACGGCAATTCTCACTATAGTCACTAGAAAATCCCACTGATCTCAGTAACACTGACTTCCAATAACCGTCCATAAGATCACAGCCTCAGTTAATTTTTTTCTTGTTCACAGTTTGAGGGAAAGCCACAATAGCCCTACTTTTTAAATTCGTCTTTTGCTGTCCATTCAGTCCTGGGAGACAGGTGAAATTATTTGTTTGAACACATCTGGTGATATCTGCATTGACAATAAGCCAAAGTTCTGCCCCAAGAGAATAAATTACTGGATCAACCAGAGCAGAATCTTAGGTTTACCATCTGGTGACGAACAGTCACATCCACTCCAAAGTCAATAAATAGAGCTGAAAATGTACTTAAGCTTTGAAAGATAAGCTCTATATGTTTACTATAATGGAAAAAGGCAGAACTGGACTTAGGAATGTTGGGATTGGATGAAAGACTATTCATTAACTTCCTCTTCATCATCTTCAAATGTTTCTTCACCATCATTTGCTGTAGCTTCTTGGTACTGCTGGTATTCTGACACCAGGTCATTCATGTTGCTTTCTGCTTCTGTAAATTCCATCTCATCCATTCCTTCTCCTGTAAACCAGTGAAGAAACGCTTTTCTCCGGAACATGGCAGAGAATTGCTCAGAGATTCTTTTGAAGAGCTCTTGAATAGCTGTGCTGTTACCAATAAAGGTGGAAGCCATCTTGAGGCCACGGGGTGCTATATCGCAAACTGCCACTTTTACATTATTTGGGATCCATTCCACAAAGTAGCTGCTGTTCTTGTTCTGTATGGCCAACATCTGCTCATCAACCTCTTTCATGGACATGGGGCCTCGGAAAACTGTAGCAACTGTCAGATATCGTCCATGTCTTGGATCGCAAGCTGCCATCATGTTTTTGGCATCAAACATCTGTTGTGTGAGCTCTGGCACAGT